ACTTATTTTATGAAACCGACTGTAATTGGACCGATTTAAACCAGACCCGCCAGTAAAAAATCCACTTACTCAAACATTTTATTAAATTTTAGGAAAAAGTTTAAACCCAAGCGGTTTTCTCTGAGAGGAAATTATGAAACTTTAACCCCAGAACCAGGCAAGTATTTGGGATGGTTAGAAAACAAAAAAAACTTGTTATTTTAACTTGTTTAAAATTAACAGTAATAACAGTGTTGATGAGTATCAAGCTAAAAATATCGAGGCCGGATTAACCGCTGCAAGAAAAGATTTGATGAACCGGTTCTACGTGAAAAATATTGCAAATCTGGTATTTTTAAATTATATATTTCAATCTGAACCAAAAAACAAAACAAAATATCCTTTATAATATTACGGTCAACGGTCCGTTGGTTTTGTTTTGATTATTTTTCCTTTTGGGAACGTAATCCCTAACGTTGATAAATTAAACCCAATTTAAATTTTCAAAAAAATTCACGTATTGTTGTTTTGATTTTTTTTTATAAAATCCTTCAAGTATTATAAAAAATTTTTTGAGCCTACACTTAAACATTATATTTTTTGTTTGTAAGGAAAAACTGGAGTTCACCTTTTACCTGAAGGGGGAACATAAAACATGTTAGCTTTAATGAATAATACAATTACATCTTTCATTGTGTTTTTAACAATAAAGATTAATTTCAAACAATTTTTTACTTGTAAATTTATTTAGGTTCAATTGTTATGCAGGGGACTATGCTTAAAAAAAAAGCCATTTTCTATTTTAGTTTCCTTGGAAAACTATTAAACCAAAACAATAGGGCCAATATTAAAAACCAGGGAACTAGAGTTTAAAAAAGCTTTGGTCCAAGCAGCCTCTTATTTTTTAAAAAAGATACTGATTTTTTTTTGCTAAGGGAAAATTTTCTTTTAAAAGAAAAAGCAATTTCAAAATTTTATTTACTTTTTTTAATCGGGAAGTACTTTAATTATACATTCATTTGTTTAGTTCGATTTTGTTAAAGGAAGCTTTAAGCTTTATAGAAACACTCTGTCCGGGAATCCCGTTTCCTGGAAAAAAACGGGGACCAGTTTAACTTGAGGGGGCAAATGAGTAGTTAAAGTTTTCTTTGCTCAAGGAAAACACAACGACTTTGCCCCTTTGACGGGTTTTTTTTGAAAAAAACCCATTGCGGCTAGCGATCATAAGGTTATTAGTCTGACGAGTTTGCCACTCGACCAAAGCCGCTACTCAACAAGTACTTTGGCCCCATGGAGTACTTGTTCTCTATATCAAATTTGAAAATAAGTTGAAAGGTGGATAATCCTAATACGTCTTTCCTTTATTATTTGTCCTTGATTTTCTCTAAAATACCGTTAAAAGGAAGTCACTTCAAAACTTGTGGTGAAATATTTGTTGACTTTTAAGGGCAGACAATCTGATAAGCATGTTTTCAGAGTTAGATCCTTAAATTCCTTATTCTATTTTGCTTTATTTTACTTTATTTCATACTTTCAATGTTTTTACTGTAATATATCAGATGATTATATTCTGATATATCACTAGATCTAGACAATCTTACACCGCCTGCCGGTACAGACCGGAATATCTAGTTCCAGCGGTAAACGAGGCGCTGTAAGAACACATTTGTCTCGGAGCACCATTTGTCTCACGAAGTGTGACCGATGTGTTCGTAAACATTCATATTTGCGACAAATTGGAAATGAGACAGATGTGTTCGACACACAATAGAAAGGACACTCGAAGCACATTTGTCTCACATTTTTTTCCATAAAATTCTTGAAAGGTAATAATTATGTTCATCTGTATACAGGCTAACCAGCCATTGATCTGTGTTTTCTGTATTTATAATACCGTTTTAAGGTCACTTTCGGTCAGTCAAAAAATTTCCTGCCTCTGGCATAGGAGACATATATTAACTTAAAGAATATCCCTGTTCTGCATGTCACAATGAAAAATGTCTACAAGTGCAGCATCCAGAACCTAAACACTTATGCAGCAAGTCAATTTTTATCGTTATCAATTGTGATACGTTTATTTTCAATGCTTAAAGTTTTATAGATGATTTATGGCACTAGAAATATTCTAAACAAAAACAAGGTAGTATCTACGGTGGGCATAAAGGGGACAATACAATTTTCTTATTTATTACGTGCGCACACGATAGCTTTTCCGTGGCCACGTGGATACTATTACGTGCGCACGAGAACAGCTATTACGTGCGCAGGCGCATAGGTATTGCCACATTTGGACCCTGACCGGGATCCTCGCATGAATAGCTCGACACCCGTGTATGTGTCGAACCTACAGCGGTTAGGGGCTAGTGGTTATTTGAAATCATTCGGCCACGGAGGCCCTTAAATGATCTATGAAGAAAATAAGAAGACAATTACACACGTATTTACTTTTTCATCAGAAATATATGTATAAAATCGTCATACAAAAATTGCGGCTTTAAGATTCGCCATTTAAAAGGCACTTACAACATATTAACATGCATGAGTTTCTAAAATAATGCAGGTAATGCCATAATTATGGAATATCGGGCCACTCAGAATAGGGCGAGACGCGACATTCCGATGAGACACGAAGCGATGCACGATATTGTAACAGGGGATCTCGCAATGTCGAAGTATACCGTACCAAGAGATTTCAGAAATGAATAAATTACTAGTTTAGATAGGGCAAGTATGGATTTATTAATATTCATATAATGACTTCTGAGGAAGTGAGATGCTTGTAACCAAAAGAAATTCGCGATAGATGTGAAATAATGCGTCAAAAAAAAAAGTAGCAAAATGCATACAATGTAGTATTTTGACTTTAATACAAAATTCTAAATCACTTCAACTGTACAAACTGCAAAAAAATCAGCAAGTGAAAAAATGATTCAGGTAGTAAGCCAATGAGTAACATTTTGGAGCTATAAAAGTATACCCAAAAAATAAAAAGCTTTTAAGGAATAAAGATAAAAGCATTTCTCAGGCATAATAGGCCTTTAAGTGATTTTATGTAGACTATAAAGGGAAAAAGTTCTTAGCGGTATATGATCTGGAATCAAATTTCTTGTCTCGCGTCGACGAACGGGATGCGAAGCGAGACGCGAGATTTCGCGAGACGCGAGATTTCGGCGAGATGCGAAACGAGTCCACGATATTGTATCATTCAATATCAACCGATTACGGTGTTCCGTTTGGACATAAAGTAACATTTTTTTGTCTCCCTGAACAGCTATGCACAATGGAACAAAGGTGAAATTGAGATTGTACGATGGTGCGATGATTAAAACACAATGGAACGAATGGTGAAAATCACGATGCTGCGATGACACGATAGCTAAATTATATCGCGTTTTCATCAGCATGCCATCGCAGTTTCATCATATCGTACCATCGTATTTTCACCATCGTAACATCGTCTTTCACCGTAGTACCATCACGTTTTTCATCATCGAGCCTTCTTTGTTTCACCATCGTACAATCGTTGTTTCACCATCGTACAATCGTTGTTTCACTATCGTTACAGTCGTTATTTCACGTTCGTACCATTATGTTTTCACCATCGCACCATCGCGTTTTCATCAACGTACCATCATGCCATCGCGCAGTCACCATTGTACCATCGTGAACGGGATTTAGTATGTTTCAGTGTACGCCTTTAGATTAAGCCAATCAATTTCTTGAATTAAAAATGTTATAATTAATAGTTCACTGTAGGTTTTCATAAAAAATGCATAAGTAAATCTATTGATGATTACACTTGAGGTAAAACGGCGAACCTCGATTCTAAAAATAATTTCTGCCGTGGGGAAATAATGTGACAAATAATTCATTAATAAAAATGACATGAGACAAAATGTGCTCACTTGTCCCTTAAAAAACTTGATCGGAGCACATTTGTCACACCAATGTGTTTTTTGGGTTAGACATTGGAGGTCCCATTTGTCTCATGTGGGACAAATGCGACCGCATCGGTCTTACGTAAGACAAATGTGCTCCGAGACAAATGTGCTCTTACAAGGCCCTGCCGAGTTTTCGCTAAACAGTTACCCAAGAGCTAGATATTCCCGTCTGTACCAACAACCGGTGTTTGATTCTTTTTCTTGCATATTACATGTCAATTATTTTCGGAACAGAAATCTTGAAAACTGATATTCTCACTACGCACTTTTTCTTATAGTAGCGTATGAACATACAACTTCATTCATAACATAAAAATGACGTCATCCTAAGAACGCGATTCATTCATAAAAGTCGCGCGTCAATGACGTCATTTAAAGCACGCGACTTGTCTTACATGGGGGTGTAAGACAGAGTTTTCTAGCACCGGTGTAAACGGTAGATAATGCTTTCACTCCAAAAATTTAAACATTTTGCAAGTTATATCATTTTCAAATAGTTTGTACACAAAATGTTTGAAATATGTGTAAAAATGTTTCCATGCCCCACCCACTTTAAACTTAAAGGAACTCCACTGAGGTTAATAACCCTAAAAACATAAAGAGGATATTTGTTTAGTTCAGTGTAAGATCGGAATATATTTCACCGAGCGAGCACCAAAAGGTATATTTCACGAGTGGCGCAGTGATCTTACACTAAACTAAAACAAATTGTCTTTTTATTACATGCAAAGTAACGTTTTAAAAAGGCATTAAAACCTAATACTGAATGAAAAGCGCGCCAAATAATAATACAATGTGACGTCATTTACGACGTAATGTCATTAAGTTGGTACCCAGTACTGTGCACGCTGGTAATTTCACTGAAGCAACGTAAGGGGCTTAAATTCAAAACAGTGAAATTATCAAAAGTGGTAATTTCACTGTTTCAAACAGTGAAATTACCAATTTGTTATCACTGATATATTTCTATAAACCACCGAAAAAGCATGTAATAAATTTTTTTAATTGTTCACATAGATCAACACGAGCTATTAAAACAGAAATATAAAATCAAATATAACTAATCTTGAGACATACAGTACAGGAAATACATTAAAAATCGTATGTTTGTGCTATTCTCTGTCCGATTCGAGTGAAAAGCGTTTAAACGCTTTTCAATTTTTGGTCATTTTTCACTATTATAATTATTATTTTGGAAAAACGGAATGAGCTAATGATCTGAAATTTTGCACATAAGTTTTTAGTATAGATCTACATCAAATATAGTAATAATCTCAAATAACTATTTCCAGTCCCGTCATGTCAAAAAACCTCAGTGGAGTCCCTTTAAGAAGTCTAAAAATACCTAAAATTGACAACAATGAGTGGCTGTTTTCAAAGTTAGACTTAACTTTCAGAAATATATTTTGATTGATATTCCAAAATATAAAATACTTTATTTATTTTTTATTTTATTATACTTTGAAAATATCAGGTACCATATTTGCTATTAAATGTGGCATTATTTAGCCAATAAATACCTACAATAATAATATAATAAAGATCAAACAATTTTCCTTTCCAAAAGGGATTTGAGAGATACATTAATAATGTTAAAAGAATAAAAATAATGAAAAAATTTGCCCCTTCTGTGGTTTAAGCTCATGTCACACAGTTACAATGCTATTGAAAGTAATTCTAACCAATTTGAATACTTTTCAAGGCGGAGGTTATGCATTAGGGAAATCTTACCTTAATGTCGCAAAATCAACGCTAAATATCGCAATTAGTTTTATTATACACTTCACTGTCCAGGAAACGTTAAAGTACTTACAAAATAGTATGATCACTCAGATGTCTGTTTCAAACTTTTGTAATGTGCTCTAGCAACGTAAAATATCGCATCGCCTCTAAATTTCAAAGGATGGCTATAAATGCCACAATCGCCTTGATGGTAAATATTGAACTTTCAGCGCTGAATGCCACACACAAAAATTCAGGACCGTTAAATGTCGCAATGTTAACGCTAAATGTCAGTTTTTTTTACTCTCCTGTAAAAAATTAAAGTACTCCCAAAAAATCACTATTTTGATGTAATGCTATCATCATTATGATAAGCTACACGTCATCGTGCTAGTAGCTTCCGGTGTATTCACTCCTGATAAATGCTTATATGTTAATGTACGAAAACTGTTATGAAACTGAACATCATTTTCATAACAATACAGGGCTCACTTTGTCTAAAGCTAAAATGTTGCTCATTAACAACACTGTTTTCAAGTTGCTAACAGAATTTTGCTAATTTGTAACCACTTTTGATGTATAGCCTTATTAGGGTACAAAATTAAAGATGAATTAGGTAAATTTGGCTACAGAAAAATTCTGGTCAGTGCAGGCCCTGACATGTTTCCTTTACCTAGTCATCATCAATATCATGGTCTACATCAACATCATCATCGTCATCATCACCATTATCTTCGACATCATCACTATTATCCATGATCATCATAATCAGCAGGAGCAGCAGCGACAACATCATCATGATCATATTCATCTACGTGCACATGTGACATTTCATGATTTTGTTTAACGGTTATAAGGGGTTACCTTTTAGTGCTACTGTCTAATTTATGGTGTCTGATTTGAGCCATTCGTGTTTTCGCCCCGACCCTGACAAGCGAAAAGTCGAAAATTAACAAGTTATAATGGCCAGGGCGCGGAGCGAAAACACGCTAATTAGCAGTGGTGTGCAGCACGGGTTGACGTTTCATTTATATAACTAATTAGCTAATTAGCGCACCCCGCCGTTCTATTCACCTCGTTTCGCGCTTTAAGTATTGTTATTTAACACAATATATAGAAAATGCACTAAAGTTTTAAGAAAGATAAAAACATTCAAGATCCAAGCTATATTTTGCATATTATTTGCGGATAAGACTGATTTTTGCAGTATAAATCACCATATTTCTATTGCGTTACTAACGCAGTAAGGGCTGTTTTTGCATATCTTGACCACTTTTTGATGATTTTCGTGGATTGTAAGTGCATATTGCAATATGAAAATAACTTTATTTGTTCACTTCACAATATCTTACTTTTAAATACATTTCCAAAATTTTCATGAAAATTAACATGAATCTGGAGGTGTGCTGCTTTAAAGTATTCCCCATTACATTCAATGCATCGCCTGTGGCGGTCAACTACGGTGGCACAAAGATGACATGTGTGTGTTTTTATTTATCTCGTGGCCACGAGATACTATGTCATGGCCACGAGTTACTAAGTCGTGGCCACTAGATAGCTAAGTCGTGGTCACGAGTTACTAAGTCGTGGCCACGAGATAGCTAAGTCGTGGCCACGAGATACTATTCGTGGCCACGAGTTACTAAGTCGTGGCCACAAGATGGCTTAGTCGTTGCCACGAGATAATATCTCGTGGCCACGAGTTACTATGTCGTGGCCACGAGTTACTAAGTCGTGGCCACGAGATAGCTAAGTCGTGGCCACGAGATAAAAAATCTCGTGGCCACAAGTTACTATATGTCGTGGCCACGAGTTACTAAATCATGGCCACGAGATAGCTAAGTCGTGGCCACGAGATACTATGTCGTGGACACGAGTTACTCAGTCGTGGCAAAGAGATAGCTAAGTCGTGGCCACGAGATAGCTAAGTCGTGGCCACGAGATAGCTAAGTCGTGGCCACGAGATAATTAACCAATCATAATACACTATATATATGTTATTCATTTTTCAAACTTTATAACTTACATTTACATGCAACATTAACCTTTGAAAATACTGAATATATTCACTTTGAAGAATTTGTCTTTAGTATCATATTAGAAAGTAACCTTCCGAGGTCCATCAGACATTAATTTTGACAATAGCTCTTTGTTGGGACAATTTTGTGATCGAATTGGTCAGTTTGTACTTACTACGGCCTGTTAACGTTGTTTATACGACAACATTCATGAGAAGATTAAGCCCTGGTGTATTTTATTTGGAAGGGACATTGCCCATGAACAGTAGATAGCCTGTATGGTAAATCCTTGTCTGATGAATAATTTAGAAGGGATAAGACATGTTTAATATAACCCAGGAAGATCATTGCACCTGATCAGTAGATGACATCTAATAATTTCAAGGTCATTGGGTAAAAAAGTGACGCTAAATGTAAAATTATTGACCAGTCAATAAGTTGTATAAAATGGCACTTTTACAGGCTGGTGAAGTAGGGACATCATTGTACTTTAGCACACGTCTAGTTAATTAGAGAAATTCATATAAATGGTGTAATCTGATTGGTTATTTATCTCGTGGCCACGACTTAGCTATCTCGTTCCCACGACTTAGTAACTCGTGGACACGACATATTATCTCGTGGCCACGACTTAGCTATCTCATGGCCACGACTTAGTAACTCGTGGCCACGACTTAGCTATCTCGTGGCCACGACAGAGTATCTCGTGGCCACGACATAGTAACTCGTGACCACGACATAGTATCTCGTGGCCACGACTTAGTAACTCGTATATCGTGGCCACGAGATAAATAAAAACGCACTGATGTCACCTTTGTGCCACCGTAGTCAACCCACTTCCTAAATGTAATCCTGTAAACGTCACTTGGAATTGTTCAAATTATTCAGAAACCTACATTTTGAAGATCATGAAGTGTTTTTAACTGTCGTTCCTTCAGCTGTCCTTTAATGTGTGGAAAAATATAAATATAATCATAGGACAGAGAACCACTTGTGTACCAAACTAAAATAGGAACACTTCTTTATATAAAGTTACGGCGCCATTTAATATATTTATTGATTTATAAAAATACAAAAAAATATGAGACCCGTATACCAATTTATGAACTCTTTGACGACCACACGAAAACGTTACAATAGGGCAAATGACGTAATAATTTCTAATGACGTCAGGAATACGTACACGTACTTTTCCCTGAATTTTGACGCTTATAGGATACTGTGATACATTAAAGTACTGAACTAACCCAATTTTTGTCGTGCGCCGGTTTTACGTTACTAAGGTAATGAGTCGTTTTCACGACACGCTGGTTACACGGCTTTTTATTTGAGAAAGATTTTACCTTCAAGTGATATACATGTATAATTCATGTTTTTTTATCAGTTATTCTCACGACAATAACTGCAGTGCACAAAAACTGTACGGGACCGGGCAATACAGAAAAACAATCGAAATCTGTGAAAAATGTGTTTAAAGCATATCGACCTAACGGAGTAAACACTAACGACGACATACAACGACATAACGGATGACGCTCACATAACGTCACTTCCTTTTTGGTTTGTTAAAGTATATACAGATTAAGCTGAAGGAGCATGATATCTGTCACCGGTACTGGGGCTATTAAAGGTGACCAAGCAGGTAGGAAGTCAGGTAGGTAAATAGGTAGTTAGGTAGGTAGGTAGGCAGTCAGGTAGGCAGGCAGGCAGGCAGTTAGTTAGGCAGGTTGGCAGTCAGGTAGGTAGGTAGGTAGGTAGGTAGGCAGGCAGGCAGGTAGGTAGGTAGGTAGGTAGGTACGCATGTCTGTAGTAAGTAGGTAGTCAGGCATGTAGGCAGTCAGGTAGGTGAGCTGGCAGACAGGCATATAGTAAGGCATGTAGTCAGATAGGTAGTCAGGCAGGTAGGTAGGTAGGTAGGTAGGCAGGTACGTAGTCAGGCAGGAAGCAAGTCAGGTAGGTAGGCAGGTAGATAGGTGGGTAGTCAGTCAGGTTGATAGTCAGGTAGGAATGTAGGTATGCAGTCAGGTAAGCAGGCTGGCAGGTAGACAGGTAATCAGGCAGGTAGGTACATAGGTAGGTAGATAGATTTCTGTACGTTTGGATTTAATATAGAAAGGACATTGGTCGATCAACGGTATGAACCTTAAGGTGACTCACATCCATCTAATATTATCTTTGTATTGTTATATCGTTCTCATATTTTTTCTATGTCTATATGGCAAAAATTAAACCTTTTAGAAATCAAAATATCATTTGAATACCTGAAGATGACCCCAACCTTATTAAATGTAGATAAAGTTAGTGCATACTACTTCATATTTTGCTGCAAACCATTTACATGTAATTTGTTTCGGCATACCAATAACATATATTGGTACTTAATGTTCTCTTAAACTGCCAGGAATAATGTACCGATATGTATATATACATGAAGACATCATGCTTAAGTATTAAATTCAAAGCATATTTTATCCTGTAAGCTAATTGTCTATGTTTAGCCTTTTTACAGTCTACAAAACTTGCGTTAGCGAAAAATTCTATTAATTGAAAAAAAAACAAGAAACGGAGATAACAAAAACTATCTCTTGAACAAAACTAACATTATATAACCAAATGTGTGTGTAAATGATAAGCGTACTACGTACCTTACGTACACTTATTAAATAATAAAATACGCTAAAACGTGTCGTAACAGAGCACAATCTTGAAACACACTGACAGTCACAGAAGTTATCATAAGAACTCTAGGACATTTTCAGAGTTATCGCAAGAACTCCGTGACATTTGGAAAATCGGGCCTGGGCATTACATTCGCAACTTTCCATTATAATTAGGTAATAAGGTATGGCAAAGAGGAAGATCACAAATGAAAAGGTCAATATGTTCGAGAGAGCAAGTAATTTAGAATTTTTACACAAAACTACAAGATTTTAAACAAATTTAATGGTCTTTAAAGTTTTTTTCTGAAATAAAATACAAATTTGTAAGGCAAGCTAAATCATCAAAGTTTAATTTTGCACTTAAACTCCCCGTTTAACATTTTTCACGTGTGTTTCTCCAGGATATAATAAAGTTTTCCGACGAAATCTGTTACGTTTTCTATGAACTCCGTGACAAGCTATCATTATAACTCCATCCTTCGTGTAACTGTTCCGCTCCCGTGATAATATGCACTGTCTTACCTTAAATCCTGGCTCCTCCCCTTGTTGGCTATGCTTGTCAAAAAACAATAAATTTCTATTTATAGATATATAATGTTTGTTTCAGTTGTCCGCGCATATTCACCAGTGATAGAACATTTTTTAAACATTTTTCTTTTTTGTTTGTTTTTGCGTTTGATGCGAATTTTTTAGTAGTAGTGATAGAAATGGTAAGATTTTGATTTACTGGAAATTTATTTATTCTGTGTTTTGAATGTTTTAAAAAATGTCTATTCAATATGTTATTTTGTGACGGAAGTGATAGCAGACGACAATTACCCTGTTTGCAGGTATTCTCGCGGTACTAAGGAAATAAAGTCATATAATGACAAACAAAATATTTACCTTGTTGTTCTTTCCTTTTCTTCATCCAAGTTAACCAATAATTGATTTATTTACATGAAAAAAATCGATATAAAACATTTTCAATTTTATTTTCCGCCATTTATAAACAGGTACCCTGACCTTGACCTTTGAATAGAAGTTATTTATATTCTCTCGCGGTAAAAAATCTATACCATACAGTAAGGCTTTCAGCAAGTCAAAGATGTATAAACTACCTAATGCAATTTAACTGAACAATAACTGTACTAAAAGTTCAAACAAGTTGTGACTTTATAATTAATGCAAAAACATGTCTATGATCAAATTTGTCTGAGCACAAGGTAAGTTGATTTGTAATATTTCCTGTCACAATAGTTATTCTTCAGTTACACAATGTGGGCATCTGAACACAGTAGCCCTTCTTACTACTGTAATTGGTGTACAAAATCTAAGATGTACCCAATGAGAGCAAAAATTACACTGAGCCCACTTTGTGAAGACAATACTAACACAATGCTTGAGTTGAGTGGGTGTGTAGAGCTTGCAGACACAACATTTGTCTCTCTCCTCTATCTCAATATCCAGTATCACTGTCTGACATAGGTGCTGGAGAGTCCAAAGAAATAGGTACCCCTGTCTTAGATGTTCCAGATGTGAGAGTCTAGGAACTGGTTGTTTCAAGCTCCTTACTCTTCCTCTGCTTCTTAGATGGTGTTTGTATGGGATTTTTTTGTCTATTTTGAACAGTTTTTCTCAGATTTGGCAACCCTTAGACTTCCTTTGATTTTGCAGAATATGTGTATTTTTTTCATTTAACAGATTTCCCATTATGTATGGTGGAATGAATTTTTTCTTAGGTCTTTGTTTGACAGTGTTAATTTGTCTCTTTGCAAAGAAAGTGACAGATTCATCATACAAAATGGTTTCTTGCGAGTCAGAGGGCTCTTCTGGTTGCTGTGGTGCCTTTTCGGTCGATTCAACTTGTGTATCCAGTCCCTGGCACTGATCATGATTTTCACTGGAATAAATTGATGAAGGTGCAGTGTCACTCTTGGAAATTTGAGACTCATCAAATGGATATATTCCTGATTTTTTGAAAGCTGATGTGATGTTTGATGGAGAGAAAGCTTTCAAGTACGGCTTAGAAGTTAGTGAAGCAATTTCATATTTGGTGATGTATACACCCGGGTTATGCTGCAAATACTGTTGACACTCAGTGTAGTAGAAGGCTTTGAATGGGCCATAAACACCAACATCCAGTGGTTGCGTGAGATGACTGGTATGTGGGGGAAGTACAAAGAGGACAACATTCCTCTGTCTAGCCCACTCATTCAAAGTCAACGATAAATGACTTTTGTGCCCATCATACAGGATCAATGTGGCTGGTCTATCTGAAGAGACAGAATCAAGGTTACAGTGCTTCGCAAGATGTCTCGTGACATAATCTTCAAAAATTTCACCATTCACCCAACCACTATCCGACATTGTACCATCTGCACCAGGTTGAGCACCTTCCATGAACTGAGAATTAAACCTTTTCCCAGGGAATATATAAAAAGGAGGCACATGATTTCCAAGGGCATTTGCTCCTCCTATTATTGTTACATTGGAAGATCTTGGGGAGGTAATTGCCTGAGGTTTATCATTTTTCCCACAAACTATTTTAGGTGGTGAGTGCTGGGTGCTTACTCCTGTTTCATCTATATTATAGATTCTTTCAGGTGAATTGATTAAGTCATTGTCATCTAGAATATTCTTCAGTTTTTTGAAATAGTTGTTTATTTTTTCTTCAGAGGCACCTTTAGCTCTGGCCAAATCAAGCTTTTGAGGCTTGACAGCTTTCAAGTCTGAGTTTCTTTTCATGAAACTATAGTACCACACAGTACTTAAACCATCCTTCGCAACAACTTTCTTCCCCATTGACCTGGCATAGTCAGCAGCCATAAATCTTATGTTGGTCATGGTGTAGCCATATCCGATACTGGCCATATACTTTATATGATGTGCTAACTTGTCCTCCTCCAGAGAAGACAATAGAGTCTCTGGTCCAGGACGTGCCTCAAGGGTGACATTATGTCTAGTCCTGTCTCTCAAAGTAGACTCCGGGACATGGTACACTCTAGATGCCCGATAAACAGACATGCCATTTGAAACACAAGCTGCATAGGCTCTCTTAAGGCTTTCCTTGTCATATGGCTGCTTAAGCCTGCTTTGGGACCCCTGAAAAAAAAAACCAAAAAAACTATGGTATGGTATAGGTTTTGAAGTTTTAGGCAACAACAACAACAACAAATGGAGTCCTGTCAGCAGACGGAAGATGTCAATCTTAAAATGGAGGAAAGTTACCAAAGAATAGACATTTTTGTGAATGATTTAGTTAAAGTTTTGCATTTACAAGGTAAAATTTGTGATTTACTTACCTTTAGTCGGTTCATTACTGTAAAATGTTACTCAAAACACTGCTGAATAAAAGTAGGTCACAAATATTTACTATAGGTGGCGCTGTGATTCAACCTCGTGAAAAATAAAAATAACGCGAGAATAGATTTAACGCGAGAATACCAGCAAAGAGTATAATTGTTTTATTTTATTTCAAATTATTGGTGACTTATGATGTTATACATGTATAATTGTATATTAACGGTTTCGATAAGATATTTACCACTCATTTATATTTAAAGCTCACAGGGGGGAAACGCTGTGACGGCCACCAACCCCCCCCCCCCCCCAAGCTGCTATTGATATTTTTATGGGTTGTAGCAGGGTCTTCGGGGGGAGGGGGCCGGGCTTATGTCAGATCACAGCGTCTTCCCCCTGTGATCTAAATGGGTAATTGAATATTTGCCTACTTCAAAACACATCATCTATTATTCTTGAATAGTATGTATTTGGTATTTTGGTCTAACCTAGCAAGTATCTAACTCTGTAAATAGCAATTTAATGATTGGAGTTGATGACTAAGTTTTTTTCTCTCCCAATATGTATAGGTTAGAGTGCATATTGGGTGTTCTTCATAAATAAGAAAGCTAAAAAGGAGCGGAGATTGCGAAGCGACTGTAGCTTTCTTATTTATGAAGAACATCCAATATGCACTCTAACCGGCTTTAAGTGCTCCACCCACATTCGTTTTATAATATAAAACGTCCAGTTTATATAAAATCTGTTCTATTAAGATTTGTAACCTGAAAATTGAAAAATCCTCGTCGGTGATTGGCTTAAAAAAATGGCGAGCACTAAATCAAGTATAAGTCTACCGAAATTAAGTAAATTCATAGATATAAAAGTAAACAATGCATTATTAAGATTATGGTTTAAGAAATCGAAAGTACAAAATGCCTACCTTTTGACATAGTCCAGTATGTTTATATAATTTGATTTTAACATGGTTGTCAGACATTTTCAATCAAAATTGTACTGAAACAGACTTTTTTTTAATGTCAGACATTTACATCGTGTTCTTTATCAAAGACAACACGTACTCTGTGTTTTACATATAAAATCACGTGGTAGAAATACTTTTATAGTCTAATTTTATTGACCTGTTAAATATGAACATGATGAATACATTATAAGATTAATTTGAATATTCGATCCAACTTCGGTTATTTCTTGCATAGCAGACTGGCGTTTTTAATTTCATTTTTCAAATTTTCAGGTTACAAATCTTAATAGAACAGATTTTATATAAACTGGACGTTTTATATTATAAAACGCAAGTGGGCGGAGCACTAAGCCGGTAATTAGAGTGCATATTGAATGTTCTTCGTAAATAAGAAAGCTACATTCGTTTCGCAAGCTCTGCTAGTTTTTAGCTTTCTTATTTACGAAGAACACCCACTATACACTCTAACCTATACTTAATATGGAATATATGAGCCGTGTCACGACAAAACCAACATAGTGGGTTTTCGACCAGCATGGATCCAGACCAGCCTGCGCATCCGCGCAGTCTGATCAGGATCCATGCTGTTCGCTTACAAACCCTATAACAAGTAGAGAAACTGATAGAGAACAGCATGGATCCTGATCAGACTGCGCGGATGCGCAGGCTGGTCTGGATCCATGCTGGTCGCAAACCCATTATGTTGGTTTTGTCGTGACGCGGCTCAATTATAATTTTTTTTTTAAAAAGTCATAGTATATAAGTCGTTATCACATCCTGTTAAAGTGATTGCCTGGTATACGACTGTCACTGGTCAGTGGATAACTGTTGTCATAGTTTTTTTCTTTATTTATTTTTTAAGTATTTTTAATAGAAATGATCAAGTGTTTACAAAAATGTAGAACAAACCAGCTAGTGGTACTCCCCATTGCGTTAACTACATGTATATTACAGAAACAAATAAATGTAATCACATGCTATAAGGTACTTTGCCGAAAATCTACAGTATATCTATATATTGTGTGCTTTTACCGTATAATCAGTATGCAAAAATCAAACAATAGTCCGTATTAAGTCTGATTATGAATAATAGCCGAGGAATACCGATTAGGCAAAATCAAAATGATGGACAAATCAGGAGGAATTCGTTCCTGTTTGAGTAAAAATTCCCCCCTTCTTATTTTCCCTCCGTGATAACTATTTGTTTTCATATTTTTAATGTAAAAATATCATTTGATCAAGATTTGTTTTTATATTTTTAATGTAAAAATGTAAAAATATCATTTAAAAACGGCTCAAACATGTTAAACATATATCGTTCTTGGTGTTTGTTCATGCAATGAACTATGAAAGAAATATTTTCTTCTTTAGCTGGTCCACCTCCCCCACAAATTCTTTGTGTTCAGAATGTAGAAGAAAAATGCTAATTTTTCAAGCATACAATGTATTAATCATAACGATGGAAATACTTCGTTTTGTATATAATTTATGCAATTATTAAAACAAAGTTTAGCTTTAATTATGCATTGTTAATGTTAAACATAGCATCTGAATATAATATTACATATCTACTTCTTATTTGTCATTATGCATTATTTGTTCCTAACCATGCAAAATTGAAGTTATTAACACCTCAGCACTTTATATATTATATAGAAAGATTGTCACTGATTAACACTTTTTTCTACTCTCTTTTCAGAACTTCAAGGCGACCTGATTAAATTCTACAGAAAAAGGTGTAGTTCAATACCTCTCTCACCGCTTCTTGAAGAAATAAAGACACCTTTAGCTGGGTTCTACGTGATGCCCGATATAGTCGCCGTAAAACAGAAGTCCCTAACTTGTCATGAAGAGGAGAGAACACCGATAAAGTCTTTGAAAGACCTGTTTTCAACCGGCAGTGCAGATCAGCAAGAAATTTATCTATCAGCTGATGCCGGCTTTGGAAAAACTGCTTTTTCAAAATATCTTGCAATCATGTGGTGTCAAGCTCATTGTCCTGACGAACAATACGATGCTAATGAGTGTTTTAATGATAATGGGTTAAAAGCTCTATCTAAGTTTGAGTTCTTATTTGTGGTTTTCTTAAGAGATACCTCTGTTTCTCACATTGACGATATGATTAGACAGCAATTTTCTTTGCATCTTCCTGCATTGAAATCACTAGATGAAAATTCATGTAGAGAAAAACTAAATGAAGTTTTAAGTAGAGAAAAATGCTTGATTATATTGGACGGTCTTGACGAATGGACTAACCCTGTAAATAGTTGTGGCGAAGTATCAGAAAAAATCCCACATCGGTGCGTACGTGATAATTGTGTTATTCTAACGACAACCAGACCGTGGAAGCTCGGAGTCGCAAATCTCGAAACAAGTCAAATAAACAAAAAAGTAGAATTGGTTCAATTAAGTGCAGATTCTACGCAGCAACTAGAAGAAAATGCTATAAGAAAAATGACAGGTATCCATGACAATAAAGAACTGAAGAGTAAAAGACAGGACTTTAATAAAGTGATACGTGACCGTCGCCTAGAGCACATGCAAGGGATTCCACTCCTCCTCATGTATATAGTTTGCCTATGGTGCAACAACATTCCTATAGGAAATTCAAAATATGAAATTTACACCAATATCATTGAATTTCTATTATCAAGAACGTCAAAGAAACACCCGGAAGTTCAACCATCTCGTGAATCGTCTGCCAGTGAAATTCCAGGTTACTTCAAAAGTCATGAATTTTGTAAAAAGTTTTACAGTCTTATAACATCATTAGCAGAACTAGCTTACCAAACATTATTTAACAAAAACAGAGAAAATACACTGGTATTTGATAGAATGGTTGCTGATAAATATCTCAAAGCAGACGACATGAAATTAAGTCTTCTCTCAGGAATACTGTCAGAAAGTAGAAGTAAAACTTTAATTAAAGAAATTATTAAAGTATCGTTTTCTCACAAAACAGTGCAAGAATTCTTTGCCGCCATATTTATAAGTTCTGAAAGTGACGCTCAGAAAACTGTTGTAGAAAAATGTAGAAATGTTCAAGATATTCTGGACATGTCAAAAATTTGTGAATTTATAAGTGGAATGAATGCTGACTGGATGTGTGAAATATCAAATGATTTGATGTCTGTGATAAATGAAGACAAGAAAACACGCCGCTATAGAACTAGGACAGGTGACGAGGACTTCGTGTACGATACTCCACCATTGTATAACATTCAGGAAATGTTCTTGTCGTGTTTACAAGAAATGCCTGAAAGTGAAAATATTCAATTATGTTTACAAGATTTCTTCATTAAGCAGTACACCGTGTACAGTAAGCTGTTACAACGTTTATTAAAACAAAATAAAACCAACATAAAATCACTTTATATATACATGTACAATACTTCCAGCAGTTTACGTGAAATTATAGATTTATTCTCTCTCACAGATCTCAGTCATATACAGAAACTTTACTATAATGGTGGCAGGAAGGAGGCTGAGATACCCCGGATATTGTTTCCCAGTTTACAGTACGTTACTTTGTCGTCTGGTACATGGATAAATGATGAAGAAAATCTGAATGAAAATTTAGCGCCATTACAAAACTTACAATATTTATATATTGGCGCCTTCACGTTACCTCACAAAATACTGGAAACATTTTACAATTTTATCTCCGCTCAAAAATCAATGAAAGAGTTAACATTGGTGAGGTTAGACTGTAAAGAACATGGCCGCCATGATTGTAAGAGATTGATGAACTTGGACTTGTCTCAACATTCAACTCTATCAAAGTTAGACTTGCACTGGTTACCTGGGAGGCTACAATTAAATATAACAACAACGTCATTAGTTAATGTTAAGTTGTACAACATCAATCTAGATGATGGAAGTTCATTGTTACTGTCACGTGACATGTTGAATATTGAACGTGTGGAGTTGAGGAACATAGAAATGTCTGCAGAAAGTTTACAGAACTTTATCCCCGTGCTGGAAGATCTGCCGCAGTCAGTTACAGTAGTGATGTACCGCATTAAACCGGAAACAGAATATGGCCGTGTTAGAGAAAATATTCAGAGTTCACAAACTTTTCATGTGATACAAGACGACGACAACGGCTTGTTTGAGTTCAAAACAATAAAAACAAGTAAAGAATAAACAAAGGTAAAACATTGTAAAATAAACTGATGAATTTACTTCAATAATTTTAAATGAAAACAATTTAAAAATGGACACTTAAAAAACAAAATGGCCGTTTCTTCTACGTTATACATGTACTGTATAGTTTGGTCATTTAATTTACAAACATTTATTTAAGTTTAAAGTTTTATTAAGTGACAGTTGTTTATAAATAAATAAATAAAAACAATTTTAAGAGGAGAAATAATTCAAGGACGTTTTTTAACGGGAACTTAATGGATAACTTGGAATAATTAAGGATTTGGAAATATTTTACAGGTAAGAGATTTTATTTTTATGTTGAATTTTTTATTGTTTTATATTATTTCATTTTACACACCTAAGTATTGAAATAGATTATTCTTATTGAATTATATAATAAGATTTTATTTAAATTAAATAAAAACACTTTATATTATAATAAAAAATTCTACTTTTAACATTTTACCATAATTTTTTTTTATTTTATAGTTAGAATAAAACTTAGTTAATAAAGACACATGAATATGTATGAACAATTGTTAAAAAGCTACCCCCCCCCCAATCTGTAGACAGGTGGAGGTAACTCTATTAAGCATTTTAACAGAATTATGTCCCTTTTTTGACTTAGAATTTATGCTTAAGTTTGCGTACCACCTCAAATATTTTCAAAGTCCATTGACATATGGCTTTGTTACTTTGTATACTTATTCACCATCATGCCCCCAACATGTAGACAGGAGGAGGTAACTCTATTAAGCATTTTGACAGAATTATGTCCCTTTTTTACTTAGAATTTATGCTTAATTATTAATAAGTTTGAGTTACCACCTCAAATATTTTCAAAGTCCATTGACATATGGCTTTGTTACTTTGCACACTTATTCACCATCATGCCCCCAACATGTAGACAGGAGGAGGTAACTCTATTAAGCATTTTGACAGAATTATGTCCCTTTTTTGACTTAGAATTTATGCTTAAGTTTGCGTACCACCTCAAATATTTTCAAAGTCCATTGACATATGGCTTTGTTACTTTGCACACTTATTCACCATCATGCCCCCAACATGTAGACAGGAGGAGGTAACTCTATTAAGCATTTTGACAGAATTATGTCCCTTTTTTACTTAGAATTTATGCTTAATTATTAATAAGTTTGAGTTACCACCTCAATATTTTCAAAGTCCATTGACATATGGCTTTGTTACTTTGCACACTTATTCACTCATCATGCCCTCCCAATCATGTAGACAGGAGAGTTATGAATTATTCTCTTTTAGTCATTGACTAGTACTTATGTTCCCTTTTGACTTTATGTAATTATGCTTAATGTGTTCATATTATCTTTCAAATTATTTTTCTGATTATTGTTCTTCATTGGTTCTTATGTGCTTTTGTGTTTTTCTTTTTGCACACTTATTCACCATTCATTCCTCTCTTTATACTAGGTTTAGTTATCTATTGTGTTATTGAGATTAACTTCTATTTAATTTGTTCATTTTTGATCTAGAATTATGTCCTCTTTTTACTTTTATGAATATTTTGTCTTATTATTTAATAAGTTTGTTATTGTTTATTCTTTATCTCTTTTTTCTAATTATTTTCATATAGTCTTCTTATTGTATCTATTATTGTCTTTTGTTACTTTTTTTTTTTTTGTTTATTTCATTTTATTTTCTTATCTATTCTTTTTATGTTCTTTTCCTTACTATTTGTATGTATCTATTGTATTGGAGGTTATATTTCTCTTTATTTTTTAATGTTTTTTTCATTTTTGACTATGAATTATATTGTTTCCTTTTTTATCTCTTATGTATTTATTTATATTTGTTCTTATATGTTTTTTTATGTATCTCTTTACTCTTTCTTAAATATTTTTTTCATATTTCTATTTGATCATATGTGCTTTGTTATCTTTTTTGTTCTATTCTTTATCTCTCTTTATTTCATCTCTTTTTTATCATGTATTTTTTTTTCCTTATACTATTGTAGATCAGTGTTAGTTGTATTTATCTTTATTTAAGTTCTCTTATTTTATATTTCTATATATTTTATGTTCTTTGACTTTATTATATTTTATTTTATATGTTGTTCATGTTACTTATTCTCTTTTTTTTCATATATATTTCTATATAGTTTTCTATTTGTGATCTATATTTTTGTGTCTTGTTTTATTCTTTTACACTTATTTTCTTATTTCATCATTGATTCTTTCTTATTCTGCTTCTGCATTATTCTTCGGTGGATGTTGGTTATCTCTATCTTAAGCTTTCGTTGTCTTATAATCTTCTCTTCTATCTATAGTTATTTAATATATTTATATGCTCTATTCTACTCTTCATTATATTACTATAGTCTATGGATCATTATCTTGTCGTAATATACTCTTATTTGCTTGTTATTCTATTTCTATCTTTCTATTTTTAGTCCCCTCTAACCTGAGACTCATGAATGGTAAGTATTAATTTTTATAGATGTATTATTTATGATTAAATATTTGTTCGTGTTGCCTTTATGTCTTCTTTGTTTTGTCTGTCTCCTTTTGCATTTGTTTCTTATATATATGTTGGTCCTTATTTTATATAACATGTTATTACTCTCATTTTATGGTATGCAGTTCATTGATGTCCTAATAATAAACTGTATTTTTAATTGAATATGTAAATTAACATAGTTATTTCCGATGCCTCAGATCCTTATTTATTGGTAGTATATTAGAAGTGGGGATATATTGGCACTAAGTGACATAGTTATTGCTAATCACATTTGTCGGTCTGCAGTTGGTTCTTTCTGTCAGTCAGTCTGTAAAACAAACTACGTGTCCAGTTCAATTTAACTTATAACAGCGAACTTTTGTCTTATGAACTTCAAACTTGTGATGGATGGGTTTATAAAAGCTATAGATACATATATAATTTGATATTTTATACATTAAGAGCCTGGGCACTTATAACTGTATTATATGCAGAGCTATAGATATATAATACTCGATTATTTATAATTGATATAAAATCTGTATTAGCTCTTTAGTCAATTGTTGGATTAAGCTAAATATTGCTTTTCATTCTTTAGTCATATATCTCTCTCATATATGAGTTATATATAATCTGGACAACAATAGTGGTCATAACTATATCATCTAAGATAGGTATACTACTTCAATATGGTATCATTACTGGAAATAAATTATCAGTTCCATCATTTCTAAAAACCTCAGTGGAGTCCCTTTAAGTTTTGATAAATATTTCTAATATCTTTTTGTTATATAAATGGTATCTATGTTATTTAGACTTGATAAATTATCTTTGTCATTATTTCGACATGTACAACAAGGTTCATAACTCCCAACATCTTTATTTTAAGAGAAATTTCTTCTTTGAACTTTAGATTTATTTTTAAAATTTCTTGCTCTTATCACTTTTGTTACTGAACGGAAAATGACTCAGATTGTTGCCTTTTTAGTTAGAGCATAGAAATGTATGTTGAACTTCTATAATGACATGGTGTCATGCAAATAATGTGATGCAAAAATATTGAACATATAAATGCTTTCTTGATACCTATACAAAAGTGTGTTTGTATCATAATTATTTTTTTTCATAGTTTTGTTTTCCTTTACACATGGATTTATTTAGTAGAGTGTGTTGTCTACGGAATGCCGTTAGGGCCATCGCCTATGAATGTGTTGATCTAAAACGCGATAGTCGATAGTACGATGGTGAAAACAAGAAATCACGAAACTACGATGGTGAAAACGCGAAAGCACGATAATGAAAACGCGATAGTACGATGATGAAAACGCGACAGTACGATACTACGATGATGAAAACGCGATAAACTATCGTGTTTTCACCATCGTACTGTCGCGTTTTCACCATCGTAGTTTCGTGATTTCGCGTTTTCATCATCGTACTGTCGAGTATCGCGTATCGCGTTTTAGATCAAACCATTCATAGGCGATGGCCCTAACGGCATTCCAGAATGCCGTTAGGGCCATCGCCTATGAATGTGTTAATCTGAAACGCGATAGTCGATAGTACGATGGTGAAAACACGAAATCACGAAACTACGATGGTGAAAACGCGATAGTACGATGATGAAAACGCAATAGTACGATGATGAAAACGCGATAGTACGATGATGAAAACACGACAGTACGATGGTGAAAACACGATAGTACGATGATGAAAACACGACAGTACGATGATAAAAACGCGATAGTACGATGGTGAAAACGCGATAGTACGATGATGAAAACACGACAGTACGATGATGAAAACGCGAAACCACAAAACTACGATGGTGAAAACGCGACAGTACGATGGTGAAAACACGATAGTTTATCGCGTTTTCATCATCGTAGTATCGTACTGTCGCGTTTTCATCATCGTACTTTCGCGTTTTCATCATCGTGCTTTCGCGTTTTCACTATCGTAGTTTCGTGATTTCGCGTTTTCACCATCGTACTATCGACTATCGCGTTTCAGATCAACACATTCATAGGCAATGGCCCTAACGGCATTCCGTAGTTGTCTCCTCTGCCAGCTCTTGTTATTATTACTGCTATAAAATATGTAAATTAACAAAATAAATAAAATCCATAAAGTAACAACGGTTATGGCTGGTATAGTTTTAGACGTGCCCATTTTTGTGCCCCCACTTTAGTGGCGGGCATTTAGATTTACCCTTGTCCGTCTGTCCGTCCTTCCGTCTGTTCACTTTTGTGTCGCACATAACTCAAAAAGTATTTGACCGAGAGTCATGAAACTTTACAAGAATGTTGATCAGCATGTGTAGATGTGCAACTGGGTATTTTCGTGTGGATTTATTTAGTATTTTTAGAGTTATTGCCCTTGACTTAGTAAAATTTTGCAATTTTCAACTTGTGTCGCATGTAACTCAAAAAGTATTTGACATAGAGTCATGAAACTTTACAGGAATATTGATCAGCATGTGTAGTTGTGCTCCTGAGTATTTTCGATTGGATTTATTTAGTATTTTTAGAGTTTTAAAGCCCTTGACTTAGATGTTTTTTACAATTTTCATTTTGTGTCGCATGTAACTCAAAAAGGATTTGACATATAGAGTCATTAAACCTTACGGGAAGGTTGCTCAGCATATTTAGTTTTGCACCTGGGGTTTCGCTTGTGTATTTATTCAGTATTTGTAGAGTTATTTCTCTTGAATTAGTAAAAACCGTTTCATTATGTTGTTATTTGTTCCTTGAGTGCTTGAGTTAGAATCAACCAACTTTACAGAAATAATAATCAACATCACTAAATTACAGAAATAATGATTCACATTACTGTGAAGCTATGAACCTGGGACTTTGCAAT